CAGGATATGCTTATTTACACCAACAACCTTGATTACACCTTGCCTTTTCTCTGTCTCATCTTCTTAAGGAAGCAAGAGTGTGAACAATAGTGATGGGTGTCCATCCTTCCACCGTTGGTGACCTTCTCTGAATTTTGGACCCCCTGGAATAAATCCATCCACGCTGGACTTCAAGGTGAGGGTCTCCAAGGCATGACGTTCTGGCAAATTTTGTGAGAAACAGCAGCTGTGCTGAGAGAGCCAAACATTAACATATGTGTACAGGGGGTCATCAATCCGGTTTGCTTGGCCCCTTGGCCAGCCAGTGTGAAAGCCCTCTGAGCAAGCTTCTGGCAAGGCACCAGGCACTGTGGTAGAAAGGGGTGAAGAGCTGAGGTCTGGGAGGGGGCTCAAATAGTGCTTAGTAGACTGTTGAAGCAAGGAAGCTTTTTGGGGTGGTGGGGATAAGGAGGTAGGCTTATGCATATTGTGAGCATAGGACAGCGATCAGGCTCCACCGGTGTTGCTGTGCAAGGCACGACATGTGCTGAGCGCCCCCAGTGCCCAGGCAAGGGCTTCCGGATGGACACTAGGCAGATGTCCCTGGAGAGCTGTTTGGTGATCTCAGATGGCCCCATCCATCCTGGAAGCACCCACCAAGCTGCTGAACACCCAACAAAAAGGGCCTTAGAGGCGATACATGTGGTTAGACTTTGACTTGAATTAAACCTCTGTCAATCCTCTCGTGATCTGGAAGACACAAACCAACCTACAGACCTACATGTCCATTCAAACACTGGTTTATTAAATTCTTATACTGATATCTGTCAATAAAGACCCTGTGAATGACTATTAGTTTCTCTACCACCAGTAAGGATTTGGCATGAGAATCAATAAACCCTTAAATTAATCATCAGTTACAACAATAACTGATGACCAAACAGCCTCGCTGTGCATGCTAATTATTTACTGTGTGCCTATGCTAAGGCAGGCAGCCAAACTCACATCCGTGACTCCCAGTAGTATGGTGGGAGGGAGGGTAATGCAGTGCTTTGAGCCCAGGACATCAGAAGAAAACTCCTCCTGCCTTGCTGCTCAGCTACCCTGTGATCTCTCACGAAACCTACTCCCCTCTCCCAAAACGACACCAGTGTCATCACGGTCACCGAGTGCTGGGTTACAAAATGTTTCAAGTGACTAAACATTTGGACAGATGCCCAGTGGGACTTTCAAACCTGCACAGACATCGACAAAATCCCACAAGCAGTTATCTGTACCCGTAGGGGTCTAATAATTTTTAAATCCTGACCCACATCTGTATATGGAGATGATAATAACCATTCACAAGCACACAGTGATTCTACTGAAAAATGGCTGCACAGGCACCACATCACGAGATGCGTCTAATTGATGCTTAGCTGCAGCAAATACCAACACAGCGCTTCTGGCTGTATCACACTGTGATACAAGTGAAGCTGCAGACACTAAAATAAAAAGAGAACAATCTACTGCCCATTTAAGTGGCAGCTGCTCTGGATGACTGCAGTGCTGCCCAGCAAATTACTGAGCAGGCAGAAGCACAATTCCCTGGACCGCATGTTAATCACCTGCATCCAGAGGGTGAGCACAGAGAGACCCTGCAGTAATGCGGCATGGGAACATGGGCTTTAGGCTGTGGTATAATAAATCTCCCTGCCTACAGCGTGACACTGCTTCTTCACCGAAGTCATACCAAACTTTTGAATAGCAAGAACTGTAAGAGAAGGTAAGCATAACTGAAATGAGAATGCTAGGTCATGGGAAAAGCGATTTTAGGCACAGTTTTCCAAGTATAAAAAGCAGACCAAAATAGACTCTACTTAGTTAACAGTGGGCATAAATGGAATAACGGAGGCCATCTGACAAAAGCACAAAAGCATGAACTGCCAAACATGCAAGCACATCAGATGTTAATGATGATCAAAGCTCATACAACAGATTCTGGAGAAGTCGATGCCTTCAACCAGCATACGCCTGCACTCTGTGTTGAACTGCAGTCATCTCCTCTGAGATACTCAGCTTAAAATTCAGATGTAAATACAGTAATGTTTAAAAGCAATGTTTAAGTGCCAATGGCTGGTGTCTTGTGTCCCCTACAAATTTGTCCAAGGTCCTCACAAGATTGCTTCAGTTCTGGTGGCCCATCAGAGACAACGCTCACATGTCTTAAAATCTGATCAGGGCGTGTGCAATTAGTCAATATGGCCTGTTCTACACAGAAAGCAAATCTGATTTACAGAAACAGACTTCTCTAGGCAAAGACACACAGCAGACAATAGCTGAAGAGAGCCCTGAGCTTTCAAAATACAGCTACTTATTTCAGAGCTGAAGTACAAACCCATTTTCTCTCCCAGATGGTAACAATTCTAATGGGCATAGTTCAGCAGTATCAATTAACAGGCCTCAAGTACCCAGCACAACCATTTTATATGCTTGCACTGTATTTTGACAGAATTTCCGTGCGCATAAAACAACCTCTGTGTGTGTGTTTGGGGAGGTGGTGGCAAGACACAGAGTGCTTTCTGACCTTGGCTTAACTAATGAGCACCAGACAACCTTCAGTCAACCCACAGTGAAGACAAAGTTCTTTAGTTTTACCCAAGTATGAACTCAATGAGATGGACGTAATTCTGCTTTTTGGGGCAAGACTCCCTGTGTTTTTTTCCATGGGCCACTGGAGAGTCCTGTCTCAGCCATGGGTTTTACTTGGGACAGCTGAAACACATCAATCACTGCAGATAAAAACTATCAAACAAACAAAAGGCTCACAACTTTTTTTTTTTTTCATTTAGAAAAAAAGTGCTGATTTCTACATGACATTATTAAGGGCTGACCAATTTGTCAATACATGAGAAATTCAGTACCGCTGCACAGAGTAAGAAGACAATAAATTCAGTGCTCAAGTATGGCCACCAACCTGCAGAAGGGACATTTTCAGTGGGAGGCAAACGCTCATCACCAATGATTTACTAATCTAGTTTGGATTCTCAGTACAAAACTGCTTTCAGATTTGTGCAACTGTTTGATCGTGCCTGGCAATACTATGGCAGAGGTCACTGAAGTCTCAAAGGTAAAAACACAGAGCAATTTACTGCTTATCTAGCTCACAACACTGTTCCATTGCAGTGTCTTTAATGAGAACATCAAAACCAGGTAAGTCTCGGTGCACTTCGGTGACAGTTTACAGGGAAGATCCCAAACTGGGTGTTAAAGCTAAATCTTTAGCCTTCCAGGAATCACTTGAAAACCAATGGCCACTAGGAACAAAACCAGTGCCCAGAACATTAAAACAGTACATACTGTTTGGTCATAGAAATGCCCAGCCAGTTCTCCTGAGGACAAGTAGCTTCTTTTGCTACAATTGATTTTTTTCTCTTTTATTAAAGGCTGCTGACATAAAACCCAGCGACACATAAAAATAAACACAGTTGATAAAAACAAAGAGCGGGGGCTTGTGCCTGTCAGTATGCTAGTCAATCAGTGTGGACATTAATTATTCAAATGCTGCTCCCCTTAATATTTCCACATGGCGGTATCACTAATATTTAGGAACTCATCTACAAGTACTAGACTTGTAGCCAAGGTTGAGGGATGTTCATGACAGACTGTAGAGATTAGCAAGTGAATTTACCTTGGCAGCTATGTTGTTCTTGGTCTCCAGATTAGTTCACCTACCTTTGTCCTAAGAAAAGCCAAGAGACAGCTGCAGGTAGCCCCTTCTTTGACAGAATTGGTCAGTGATTGTACAAAGGACCTTCCTCAGTCAAGTTTTCTATACTCCCACCAAGGATCAGCCCAGACCCTGAGATACTGTTAGCATCATGTGTCTCTGATCAGTGGTAAAATAAATCATGCATATTACACCCTTAGGTTCTCATGGGCTCTCTGTTGGTATCTACAAGGGACCATATGGTTTAAGAGTCTGCTATTGCCCATAGCAAATTTCCCCAGTAAAATTAAGGTCAGGCTTTGAAGGGAAAGTCATATTTTCCAAAGGACAGCAGCATAAAAATGCAACTGTGATGCCTTTTGATCTGAGGTCTGCATTGCTAGTAGTGGTGAATCTTTGCCAGAACAATAGGTCTTTAGAGTAGATTAATCCTAGAATATATATGACAAAGTCTTACCTAATCTAAACATACCCAATTATTCATATTATGCTCACAGCCAGCCCATCTGATTTTACAGGCCTCAAAATCCTTCATATAATTGAAGCACACTTACTCCTGAAGAAGATGGGGTTTTTTGTTTTAATCTTAATGGTTCGCATTTTTGTCTGAAAGTTGCTGCTGTGAAAGCACCTACTCCAGAAGATGATCCCATGGTGTCAGGTCAACTTCAGGGAAAGCTTTGCATTCCCCCCTTATCCTTTTAGCCCATGAGGTTAATCTTTTAAGTTTCAAAGAATAATGTTACTCCATCAAGACCTGGCTGTTGCAGGGAGCCCCTCCTCACCAGAGTGCAGACAGTTCACAGCCAGACACATCAAACACAACTGATGTTAGTGGTTGGAGACCGGCTGATTCAAGAACACACAAGTTTCCTTGAAAAGCCAGACATGACAGTCTGTGGCTGCAGTGACACAGGCTCATTGTTCAATTTTCTCTTCCTTGCTTTCCCCAGATTTCTATGCCCCCAAAACTGGCTGAGCAGAATGAGGGAACTGAAGGATTTGGAGAGCAGAAAAGGGAAACTTCTCTAATCAATAAATTAAAAGGGGAAATCTTGCAGTGTACTCCACCCGAGGTAGTCTCTTGTTTTCTGAAGAGACTTAGTTCTTTCATACAGCAGGCAGGTTTTAGTACTCTCTCCATAGGCAACTCCATCAATTAACATCCACATAATTTGCTGCCCCATGTGGCAGCATTGATCAGGACCCGTCTTGGAACAATTACTGCTCAGTATAGTTCAGGGGAGTGCTTCTCCTCTTCGGTGGTCCTCACTGAGAATCCTGAAAAGGCAAAGAGTGATGGAGACAGAGAAACATCAAATGGACTAGGCTTTATTTATGGATCTTAGTAAATCATGGTTTAAAAATAACCAAGTAGGTTTTTCTGATGCGTAAATGGCACCCATTCTTTTTGCCTTGTAGAAAGTCTAGCACATTGTTTTCATAATCAAGTTATTTGGATAACACAACAGTGATTTAGATTAGGATTTGTTTACACAGCTAAATATGTTGAGTAATGAAATTAAAATGAGCTTTCTGCTTCTGTCACATCTGCAATAGTAACTGGCTTCTTATGGTTAAGTACAAGCCTGCTGCACAGATGTTTCTTGATAAGGTATAAATCAGTGTTAGATGCTGTTTATTGCAGTGCTTTTACTGCCTTCTTCCCTGAAGTAAGGAATGTTGCCTGCACAGCAACCAGATGTGACCTGCAAGACTGTATGAAATACCATTACAAGGAAAAACAGGTCCCATATTCCATATCAGCATCTGCAATGGCTCATCAAGTATTTATCAGACCATTTGAACACTTCTACAGGTCCTAGCATCATACCACTGCCAGAATTTATCTATTATAACCTGCAATGAAAAAGCCAAGCATCCTGTAAAGCGACTGGTGCCTGAAATAGTAGGAGATCCCATTTTAGTTTGGTTTCCTGCCTTAAAGGTCAAATTTCTGAGCAGACACTGCTGGTGGAAAGTAAGATACTGTGAGAGATCAAGGCAGCTGCTTTTCAGGGCATTGTAGGGAAGAGTTTCTTTTTTCTGACATCCTGCCCTGTGTGATATCAATTCCTTGCTGGTGACAGGGGAACAGACTTATCTTGCACTGGTACCTACGTGTGGAGAACTGAGACAAGGGAGCTCCTCACCTGGGGCAGATGGTACAGCTTGGAGCGCCTTGCTAAGCAGCTCTGCTCAGCTCTGTGGGATCAGGGGAATCCAACAGCAAAGACCCACCAATGACCTGGCATTTGAAGACAGCCAAGCCTGGCCCCAGAGCCACACTGGCTCCTCTGTAGCAGATGACAACATTAGCCAGATAAGAGAGCCAACTTCTTGGAAGGTTTCTTGAAGCAAAACCTGACATTTCTTATTTAAAAAAAGAGGGAGGGATGGGTATTTCTTCCCTGAGCTAATCTGTGTCTCTGATTTGCTTCACTCGTTACACGGAGAGAAGATCCTGTCAACACAGAAATAATGCCAAGTATTTACAGTTTAATGGAACCCAGGGACCAATTAACAACACAGAAAACCACCAGGCAGTGTATTTCTTATTGTAACAGGAGGGGAATCTTACGTTATTGCTGTTTCCTCATTTCTTAAAATAAAGCGCCAGCGCTTTGTCAATGATTTTTCAGTAGTAATGTTTATTACCTGGTAGTTTTGCCACTTCCCCATTTATCAATTGTTTTCCATGTGCTAGGTTCAGTCGTAACCCCCCTCTCTTTACTTGTAACCCCCAACCTTGAAACAAAAAAAGAGAAGGGGAAAATAAAAAGGAAAAAGCAACTGTCATTAGAGCTTCAGACCAGCGATGCTAGAACCTGCCCTCAACCCCAAGTTCTTGAACTGCTGATTCTTCAATAGCTTGATGGATGCGATGCACCTCATCCTGTGTTAAAGTCCTCTCCGGATGGCGGTAAATGATACGGTAGCAATGGCTGACTTTCTTTGTCCTACAAAATATAAACCAAAAGAGGACTCATAAATACATGTGCCTACAAATGCAAATACATAAGTCCAAATACTTACCCTCTGGATCATTTTTTATTTGTGGTCTAATTTTGTTCCTATTGCTTGAAAATCACCTTAATGCTAAAATACACAGTCCGGAGAAGTGGGACTGAGCTGAATTTTAATTCTGGCAGAGGACTTTGCTGAAGTCCACCTTATACCTCAACTTGTATTGCAGTGTAGTAGCTTCTTACCAGAGCAAACAAGCCCAGGAGGAGGGCTATGCTAACACCATTGAACTGCTGCTGACACCATAGCTCTCTCGTTTTGGTGCTAACTGAGCTACCTCGAGGAAGCACTACACACACACATCGCCCTCAGACCAGTGAGTCTGGCAGTGATGGGCATAAGGAAAATACTGCACAACCTCTGTGTGCTGGAGAGTAATATTGTTAGCTGACGTGGGGCATCTCACAAGCTCTGCTGTGCAGGCTCCAGCCTGGGGGAGGAGACCAAACACACAGCTTCAAAACAGAGTAAAACATTTAGTTTTCAATTCAGGTGACTACTTTGCCTTCGCTGGAAATTAAAAACAAGGGAAAAATGCATCTGAAGTGTCCATTTGTAGGAGGACAGACATGCAGGATGAGGGCCATGCAACTGGCCGTGCTGCAGCTGAGGTGCAGGAGCAGTCCAGCAAACTCAGGAAGAAACGGGCTGATACAAGGCAGCTGGCACACATGGCAAAATTTCTTACCCCTTGCTGTGGGAAGAAAAAGGCAAAAGAGAACAGGGAAAAGGAATAGAGAAGAGGGAATGATGAGGAAAAAAAAGTATTTAAGAGTTGCTGAGTTAGGCAAAGACAATCTAACGCAAAACCAGGAGCAAACCAGTAAGTTGAATAAGAGAGCAAAAAATCTTCTTCCTCTCCATCAAAACCAGGCTGGAGTACACAGCTCTTGCAAGGGCATCTCTATAATTGAAGTACTTGTATTACTGAATTTAAATGGCAGTGGTGGCATCCTTTTTATTTTTAGTTTCAAATGAAGCCCACACAGCTTCTTGTTTCAAAGGTAAACACTCACTTCGGTGAAAGAAAGAAAATCTGAGGGGAAAAATAACAGGAAACCAGAGATCAAATACTAGACAGAAGGATCTTTCAGACTGGCAGAACTCTGCATTTAATGGCACACAAAATCATTCAACAAACTTCGGGTCACCTCTCTCCTGAAAATTGTTTCATGTTACCAACCATGTTTATTATTACTATTTGATTAAAACTAAGGTTCTATGTGCTCCTACACAAAGATAACTCTCAAGATACTAATTTCAACCTCAAATCCTACTAGAAACGGGCATGGGTAGTTTTTATCTCAGAATAGCTATTTGATACCAACTTTGTCCCACCCAACATGATTGGGAAGCTTGCCCTACTTCCACTGGAAGTTTACAACAAAAAGATTATTTTGAATTAAAGCATTCCTCCTTTATTTGTGTGCTCTGAAGATAAAGCAAGTTAAATCTGTCCAGCATCGGAAAGGGCAAACTGCACTTCGTAAAGTGTTAGGCTGACTGCAGTTAACTGCTAAAAAACAGCCAAGAGGTTTCCCTGGGTGAAAGATGATAGAGAAAAGTGATCTTTGAGAAAAGAGGGGGAGGTGTAACTGCAGAGAAGGAGTTGCTCTGCTCTGCTCCACCTCTGCAAAGCAGTTGAGAGCACAGACCTGGGAGAAGCAAGTAAATGGAATAACAAGGGTTTGGTCAGATATGCAAGAGAAATTTGAGTAACAGAGAGTAATAATGAATTGGTGCTCAATAGAAAGACTTTTCAAAACCAGGCTGGCAAATACCGTTGCAGCTGGTAGTATTTCAGCTTTTAATGGTACTACAGCAACCCACCTGATCAAAAACGTGCAAATTGCTTTGGCTAAAAATGTATTTAGAAGATGTATAGTCACAGACTTGATCCTGAAGTCTTGTATATACTGGGAATATATCCCACGAGGGAAAACTCATTACCACCATTTAATGTGATCTACTCCTGCCACAGCAACACCAGCACTGTTTCTTCTCTGGTCATGGTTAACTGAAGGTAATGATTTCTCTTGACCCACATGTTTATGTATCCTCATCCCTCCATCCTAGCGAGCAGTTCATTCATGAGGCAAATTAAATAGGTCAGAATAGGACACAATAGTTTCTTGTGGGTGTTGTGGAAAACCAGCATCTTTAGGAGGCATTTAAATTAGGAAAAGGTAGAGGTCTTATGGAGCAGCACTGGACTAGAGTTCTATTAGCTGCAGCTGAAACTAAGCATTGGTGCAGGAGAAATAAACCAGGGATTGCATTAAATGTAATGAATCTAATCTTAATTATAGCCAAAAGAAGATGTAGCTACTAATACACACAGCTGGCTACACATAACTCACATGGATGGTATGTTGCATTTTTCTCCCACCTTTCAGCTAGGTTTATTTGCATCTTTGTTACTAACTAGAAAGTAGTATATGGTTCAATGCTATTTCAGTAAAAGACACACTGCAAGTTTCAAAACTTTAATCATTGTTTTCAGAGTAGTATTAGCTAATTTTCCAAGGGATATGGTGAAGAGTACTTCTTGGCTCTTCCCCCTCCTAATACTTGCCCCGCCCTACCCCCAAATACCATACTAAGACAATGTGATTAATCACTGCTATCACTGCAATTGGAAACAATTATTGTCAGCAAATAATACATGTTTGCTGATTCCCTTTCTTGCTTTCCTTTTGTTCTGCACAGTCACAGAGTGTTTGCCTACCTTAAAGATGGCTCTGCTAATGCATAATGAACTCTCTGCTGCATCTCATGCTGCAGCCTGACAATACAGAAGCAGTAGCTCTCTATCCTCTGCACAGAAAAATTGAGGCCAAAACCTAGAACAGCAGCTTCACCAGGTAAAAAAAAATAAAATTAAAAACCAAAAAACCCACACCAAAAAAAACAAACAACAAGCTAGAAGCTTAACAGTGAGCAGCACACTGGGGTTAATTTACCTAAACTGCACCACCAGACAAGTCCATGTGGTTCAAGGTCACGTGGACTCCTCTCCCATTAGGTTTCAGCTGATCTTAGTGTCACAAGTCTCCTCTGCACCAGCCTGCGGCTTTCAGGTAATGAAACGCAGTGAATACAGTGAAGCACTGCTCAACGGCAAAAGGAAGACAGGGATTTATTCTGATGCCGCGAGAGGAAACAAGAATATGGTCCACAAACAAACACAAGTGCAACAATGCCAAATGCTCTTTCATACATTTTTTTGAGGAAACAGCTTTGCCTTGTGATTTTCAGGAATTGGTGTGCAGCCTCCTCCATGTGCTAGGGAGCTGCTCACTGCCAGGTCAGATTCACTGCATGGGGCCAACCTGTAGGTCAGTGTATATGTTTTGCTATTTCAGAGGGCTATCTGCACACAGCAGGAAATTAAGGGGCCTTAGTCTAATAAAACAAACATGAAAGCAACCTGACACTTGGACCAGGGCTAGAATGAAAGGGTATGTTAGGCTATAAAAATTAATATCTGTGTGTTAGCTTTCCCTGCACAGAAGTCCACCAAAGGATGTTTTAAATGCAACTTGGTTAGAAAGCTAGCCCAGAAGCTAAGAACAGCAAATCACCTAACGGGAACCTGTCTCAGTCCTTAGATAAGACTAAGACACAGAGTCATTTGGTAACCAAAATGTTTCCTTAAAGAGGAGATGCCTGGTATTGGCATTTGTCTCATGTACATGCAATATCGTAACAAGAATGAAAACTCCTCCACCCTGTACTTGAAGAGGGAGATAAAAGGGGCAGCAGTGAGTGGGGAAACACCCCCCACCCCACACCCCACCCCATTTTTTAACTGTGTTCTACTTTCCATCTGTCTTAAATAAAGCATGGAAGCACAGAGACTTCTGTAGGGATGTTACTCTTGCTCTTAAGTGCTGAGGACAACACAGAACCAGACATTTTCCTAGAAAGCTGGATTTACTTTGAGGAACAGAAAAGTAGAGATGACAATCTCCCAGAGCATCAAGGAGCAAAAGTACCATCTCTTTTGTACTCTGAGCAGCGCACTAAGCAGTACTACTCACCATCATATCTATATTGCATCTTTTCCTACAGAATATTATTTAAAGTAAAAGATCTACACACATGCTAACACAAGTTTAAAATAATTATTTTCCCTCTATTAATTGAATCAAGTTAATGAGGTTCTTTGAGGGTCTCCCAATTCCTGACATAGCAGTCTGTATCCTATATCCCCCCCAAAGATTCATCATGCAATTACCTTACATAAACCTTCACACAGTACTCAGTGATCGCTACACGCTCCACAGAGATCATGTCACGCTCAGGAAAGAAAAAGGCTTGTTTTGTTTGCAACAATATCCTGAAAGGGATCATGATGGGAAGAAATGAAAATACTGTCTCATGTTATGAGCATCACAGTTGCCAAAGCCATGCAGAGAGCACAGCTTTGGTTTTGCTTTGTGGCTCCAACAGAATGGTTCATGTTGTAAGTGGAAATGGGGAGGAATATTAAACTGTAAGGAGAAGATGAGGTAATTACCCTTTCCTTTTTGTTTCATGCTTTCAAATGACATCCACCACTGTGATAGTAGGCACAACTGCTAAATGTCATACTATAAATTTTAAACTGACAAATAGCACTCTTTGCTAGGAACCACATCATGGAAAACAGCAAAAGGCTTGTGTTATATACCTTACTATCAATGGCAAATATTCAATTACCATGGTGATATGCACATAGAATATAGCAGTAATTCTCTGAACAAAGGCCCTTCCTGAAGAAGCATTCTCATCAGTCCTTTCAAATGCTAATACTGCATTTCTCTGGAAGAGTGTATTGTATACACCAGCATATTTTTTAAAATGGACATGTTTTTGTTTAAGGTAATTTTGATGCTAGTGAAAGGCACTAGAGATCACCTCCAGAAGAAATAATTGTTTTAAACCCACT